GGCTGGGAGATTTCCTCCTCCAAGGCATGTACTTCGGAAGTATGTTGTTGGCAAATCTGCGCTCGCTGCTTAAATCTTATTTGTGAGCTATAAGCGAAAGCAAAGAGCTCGTAGCACGTTACAATACTCAATCTTATTTGTTGTTTATCATGAGCACGCGGTGTTCATAGTGTCATGTCTATTTTATGATCGGCTAATTTTCGTTGATTTGCAGAGATATGTCTTCTAAAAAAATCAAGTACTCATCGAGTTTTCAGAAGGCATACACGGAGGAGTTTCCGTGTATTATTTCGTCAAGGAAAGGCAACACGTTTGCCATGTGCGTCGTGTGTCAAACTGATTTTAACGTGGCTCATGGTGGAAGATCGGATGTTGTGAAACACGTCTCAACTCTAAAACATAAAGATAAAGTGAAGATTGTTGATCAGAATAAAAAACTGAATCTCTTTTCCCAATCTAAGGACCAAAGGGTGATAAATGCGGAATGCCTCTTTTCCGCATTTTTAGTCGAACACAATCTTCCTTTGAGCGCTTCGGACCACGCAGGTTCTTTATTCCGCAAAATGTTTCCGGACAGCGAAATTGCCAAAAAGTACTCCAGCGGAAGAACCAAAACAACTGCAATTGTTAAGGAAATGGGCATGAAGTATAAATCAGCATTGTTGGATCTCATTAGAACTGCTCCATTCTGTATGTCTACAGATGGCAGCAATAATACAGATTCAAAACTGTATCCAGTTGTTGTTACCTGCTTTAACCCAGTTAAATCGGAAATCGAATCCAATTTGTTAACTGTTCCAGCTCTTGAAGGGGATTCAACTGGGTGTAATATTGCCCAACTAATTATTAAGGTCTTAAAAGAAAATGAAGTTCCCTTTAATAATTGTCTAGCTTTTGGTGCAGACAATGCACCTGTAATGATAGGAGCAAAGGCTGGTGTTGCAGGCATATTAAAAAACGAAAATTCAAGTCTACACGTAGTAGGCTGTGTCTGCCACCTAATTAATTTAGCAGCTGAGAAAAGTGCTGCTTGTTTGCCAGTTCAAATTGATGAGAGTATTGTAGATATCTAAAGGATAAATTAAAAAAATTTCAGCAAATCCATAATACTGAAACAAGAAAAATTCTGAAACATGTCTGCACACGTTGGCTTTCACTTGGCATATGTTTATCAAGGATCCTTGAGCAGTGGAATCCACTCCTAAGTGTTTTTAAAGAAGAAGTAAAGGTTTCTAAACCAAATATTTCTTCATCTTTGGACAGCTACAAAATTCCCAAAGTTTGTCAAAATGCAGTCACTTCTGCTGCTTCAAGTTCTATCAAGAAGCATGTTTCTCCATCAGTAACTGGTAGTACTCAGCCAAGCATTTCTAGAAGTAATAAAAGGAAAAGTGAAATGGAATCATCACAAGAAAAAAAACTTCCTAAACTGGAACAGTGTAGTTTTAAAAATTTATCTCGCGAAGAAAGAATTTTTATGTTCCTCTCTTCCGACCTAAACAAAGCATATTGCTTGTTTATGCAATTTATTCTACCTACATTTGATGTCGCTAATAAAACTCTGCAGTGTAGAATTCCAAAAATTCATATTTTTAATTCTATGCTCAGAGAATTATTCAGAAATATCCTCTCGAAATTTGTAAAACCCTGTGGAATATTGCATGTCAATAAGATCTATGATGTTGATTACCACAAGAGAGAGAACCAAAAAGAGGATGAAGATCTGGTTATTGGAACTGCTACTGGAAAGATTGTGTCTGAATTATCGAAAGAAGAACAGAAGCAGTTTTACATTAGTATCAGAAAATACTTATGCAGGGCATGTGACTATATTTTGCATAAATTTCCCATAAAAGATGAAGTTGTGCTGCATGCTCAAGTAGCTGATGTTTCAAGACTTCAGCAAGCTTCTTTTCCGGATGTTAAGTACTTTATTAACAGATTTCCCATTTTAGCTAAATTGATTTTACCAGATAAAGAAATTGATGTCGCAGTAGATATCCTACAGGCACAGTTTTGCTCTCTCCAGTTAGAGGACTTAACTGAAATAAAAAAAATTGAAAGAATAGACACCCAGTGGGGTTCCATAGGAAAAATTAAAAGTGCTGATGGAAACTTGAAATATAGTGACATTTCAAAAGTAATGTTATCGATTTTAACTATTCCGCATAGCAATGCGGAATGTGAAAGGATTTTCAGTATTGTGACAAAAACAAGAACCAAATTTCGACCTAACTTAACTAATGACACACTAGAAAAAGTGTTGTTAGCTAAAACTGGCCTACACGGAAATTGTTATGACCAAGCATTTGACTCAGCTTTCCTACAAAAAGCAAAATCTGCTNTTAAGTAGAATATCATTAAAATTATAGAAACTAATACAATGTGGGAAAATGAAAATTATGACAACTTAGCACAACAAATAAGTTTTCGAAATCTTACCGGATATATACTTTATTTCTTTGATTGATTATCAGAGCATGATTTATAGATAACACTGAAATATTTTTCATTGAATTATAAATGAGTAATTGAAATTTCAATGGCCATATTGCCAAACATAAATATTACTCATCTACCAACATAATGAATAAATCTAAACTGAAACTAAAAAAAGGAAAGAAAAATAATAAAAACAAAATATTTCTTGATTAACAGTACCACTGGCGCCATCTGTTATTGAAATTATAAAAAGAGTCAAAACATAAATAGTAACCTTTATTCACTGTATTAAAGGATTAGTCACTTATCTCCCTTTTTTAAAATTTTAAATTTTAATTTCCCAATTCCCCCCCCCCCACCCCATTTCAATCAAACGAAAGATTTCACATTTCCCTAAACCCGTAATATTACGATACTCTTGCTCTAGTAAAGAAGGACTATGGGTGGACCATAGAAGAGCAGAGATGCCGAGTCTCCCGATTTTTGATCGAACTCCTGCCACTACGATTTTAAACGTTTTTCTCCCGATTTTCTGTCTTTCTTACGGTATTTCGTTATTTTTGCCCACACATGACAGTATCTTTTCATCACAAGATGTTGCCGCGCAGTGTCTAAATCATGTATTATCTAGTAGGCGTGGCTAAATACGTCATCTGCTAGTAGTCCAATGAGATTTCAGCGTCTTTAAGACGTATTGACTAAAGAGCTCTGAATGGCCGAGGATGGCTGGGAGATTTCCTCCTCCAAGGCACGTACTTCGGAAGTATGTTATCACTATGTTAGATTGTTTGTAAAGAAAGTTTTAAAATTGTGGTTGGCAAGTCTGCGCTCGCTGCTTAAATCTTATTTGTGAGCTATAAGCGAAAGCAAAGAGGTAGCATGTTACAATACTCAATCTTATTTGTTGTTTATCATGTGCATGCGGTGTTCATAGTGTCATGTCTATTTTATGATCGGCTAATTTTCGTTGATTTGCAGAGATATGTCTTCTAAAAAAATCAAGTACTCATCGAGTTTTCAGAAGGCATACACGGATGAGTTTCCGTGTATTATTTCGTCAAGGAAAGGCAACACATTTGCCATGTGCGTCGTGTGTCAAACTGATTTTAACGTGGCTCATGGTGGAAGATCGGATGTTGTGAAACACGTCTCAACACTAAAACATAAAGATAAAGTGAAGATTGTTGATCAGAATAAAAAACTGAATGTCTTTTCGCAATCTAAGGACCAAAGGGTGATAAATGCGGAATGCCTCTTTACCGCATTTTTAACTGAACACATTCTTCCTTTGAGCGCTTCGGACCACGCAGGTTCTTTTTTGTGGAAAATGTTTCCGGACAGCGAAATTGCCAAAAAGTACTCCAGCGGAAGAACCAAAACAACTGCAATTGTTAAGGAAATGGGCATGAAGTATAAATCAGCATTGTTGGATCTCATTAGAACTCCTCCATTCTGTATGTTTACAGATGGCAGCAACAATACAGATTCAAAACTGTATCCAGTTGTTGTTACCTGCTTTAACCCAGTTAAATCGGAAATCGAATCCAATTTGTTAACTGTTCCTGCTCTTAAAGGGTATTCAACTGGGTGTAATATTGCCAAACTAATTATTAAGGTCTTAAAAGAAAATGAAGTTCCCTTTAATAATTGTCTAGCTTTTGGTGCAGACAATGCAGCTGTAATGATAGGAGCAAAGGCTGGTGTTGCAGGCATATTAAAAGATGAAAATTCAAGTCTACACGTAGTAGGCTGTGTCTGCCACCTAATTAATTTAGCAGCAGAGAAAAGTGCTGCTTGTTTGCCAGTTTAAATTGATGAGAGTATTGTAGATATCTATTATTATCTAGAAAAGAGTTCCAAAAGGAAGGATAAATTAAAAAAATTTCAGCAAATCCATAATACTGAAACAAGAAAAATTCTTAAACCTGTCTGCACACGTTGGCTTTCACTTGGCATATGTTTGTCAAGGATCCTTGAGCAGTGGAATCCACTCCTAAGTGTTTTTAAGGAAGTAAAGGTTTCTAAACCAAATATTTCTTCATCTATGGACAGCTACAAAATTCTCAAAGTTTGTCAAAATGCAGTCACTTCTGCTGCTTCAAGTTCTATCAAGAAGCATATTTCTCCATCAGTAACTGGTAGTACTCAGCCAAGCACTTCTAGAAGTAATAAAAGGAAAAGTGAAATGGAATCATCACAAGAAAAAAAAACTTCCTAAACTGGAACAGTCTAGTTTTAAAAATTTATCTCGCGAAGAAAGAATTTTTATGTTCCTCTCTTCCGACCTAAACAAAGCATATTGTTTGTTTATGCAATTTATTCTACCTACATTTGATGTCGCTAATAAAACTGCAGTGTAGAATTCCAAAAATTCATATTTTTAATTCTATGCTCAGAGAATTATTCAGAAATATCCTCTCGAAATTTGTAAAACCCTGTGGAATATTGCATGTCAATACGATCTATGATGTTGATTACCACAAGAGAGAGAACCAAAAAGAGGATGAAGATCTGGTTATTGGAACTGCTACTGGAAAGATTGTGTCTGAATTATCGAAAGAAGAACAGAAGCAGTTTTACATTAATATCAGAAAATACTTATGCAGGGCATGTGACTATATTTTGCATAAATTTCCCATAAAAGATGAAGTTGTGCTGCATGCTCAAGTAGCTGATGTTTCAAGACTTCAGCAAGCTTCTTTTCCGGATGTTAAGTACTTTATTAACAGATTTCCCATTTTAGTTAAATTGATTTTACCAGATAAAGAAATTGATACCGCAGTAGATATCCTACAGGCACAGTTTTGCTCTCTCCAGTTAGAGGACTTAACTGAAATAAAAAAAATTGAAAGAATAGACACCCAGTGGGGTTCCATAGGAAAAATTAAAAGTGCTGATGGAAACTTGAAATATAGTGACATTTCAAAAGTAATGTTATCGATTTTAACTATTCCGCATAGCAATGCGGAATGTGAAAGGATTTTCAGTATTGTGACAAAAACAAGAACTAAATTTCGACCTAACTTAACTAATGACACACTAGAAAAAGTGTTGTTAGCTAAAGCTGGCCTACACGGAAATTGTTATGACCAAGCATTTGACTCAGCTTTCCTACAAAAAGCAAAATCTGCTGCTAATGTTTACAATACAAAAATGATCCAATAATCTTTTATATGTGTAATTTTTTGCCCAGTGGGAACTATTTTATCCTTTCTTTTAAAATGGTTTTCCCCCCTTAAGGTCCTAATTTTATTTTTTATGTGTTAACATTGATGTACTGTTATATATTAACAAATAAAATGTTCATTTTAAAATTTTAATACATATAAGTATTGGTTAAGATTGATTTCCTATATCGTGAAAAATCTCCTGATTTTCAGTAAAAATCTCCTGATTTTTGACTTTTATAACTTGGCATCTCTGGAAGAGGATTGAATATGTGAAGAAAAGTAGACAATTTCTACTTTCATATGATTTCTTCTTGAAATACAAGAGAGCCATTCACTGTATTGAGGAATGATTTTTTTAGTCATCTATCTAAAGTTTCGTTTTCTTATGTGCTGTGGAGCTGCAGAACATGAAATTTTTTGTATTTCTTATTGAATTGAATTTCCTTATTCTGTAAGGTGACTTAAATGTGCTTAATAGAGCATAATTTTGCATCATAGAAAGTAAGCACTCTTAAAAGTTCTTATTTTACATTAAAAGTGCTTAAAAGTTCTTTTTCTTCAAAAGAAAAAAACGTAAATAAAATTTTTACTTTTATTACTCCTTGGCAAGATGTGTGTTGTTTTGGGTTTGATGTTGTGCGCACCTTATTTGGACGTCATCACACTCTTCAACTGTGTTCAAGAGTATTGGTAAACAGTGTGCATGCATTGCTGTGGCAACTGCTACTGTTTGATAATTTTTTTAGTATTCTTTTTTCACTTATTTAATTTTGTTATGCATTAAGTTGGTGAGTTTATTTTTGAGATATGGGACCAGAGAGATCCCATAATTACTTTTTGATTTTCGAATAAAAGAGAATTTCATCATTTGAATGATAATTTTGTTTTTATTGTTTTAATTAAGAATCAGAAACGCTGACCTACAGTTCAAACTGGATCGTTTTCAATAATAATTCAGGTGATTATCACAAATAAAGAAGGTAAAAAAAAAATTAGACAACCATTTTGCCAATGGGTAACCCGTGATCGCCTTTTAGCGATTGAATTTTTTTATTATTATTGTTTTCCCTTTTCAAAAATTTGATTCTTTTTAATAAGACGTTATTATGGCATGCAAATTTGAGTAATCTCTTTTTGATGCGTAATTTCACACCGTTTGATGTTTTTTTTAATTATTTTTGATTTCAGTTGTTATTAAGAATTTTTCCAGTCCTTTCTATGTGATTTTTCAAATTGTGCTGGCTGTTTTTTATACAATGTTATGACACACAAATTTTAAATTAGAGAATTTCAAATTGATTCACCATAAATTTACTTGATTTTATAATCGTTTTATCAGTCAAATGATTGAAAAAATTCTGCAAATCTTTTTTTCACATGGTTTTTTAAATCTTCATATTTTAATTAATACGATGNAAAAATAAAACATTCCTCCCTTCCCTGCCTTCAAGGTCACGGAGGAAGTGACGTTTCTCTGGGTAAACGGGGGAAAAAAATTTCCCCTTCCTTCCATTTTCCACTAGTACTCAATTTCAAGGATGAGTCCAATTTCCGCTTTCTTCGTTCTAGTTTAAAATGGCGGGAAAATCAAGCAAAATTTTTCCCGGTTTTCTGGTTTCCCGGTTATCTGGATACCGGATAAATGGTTCTCTACTGTAGTTTTATTTCCAGTGTTTACCTTGGGTGCTCACGCGAATTTTTATAATTTTTTCAGCTCTTTCCTGGTGGTATTTTTTACTTTTTTTACACACTTAATTCAGTGCAATTACGTTGTAAATTATTGTTTTTGACAGTTTTTGCATTAATTTAATTTCATATTAATACGGTGTTATATTTTTGATTAATGCGATGTTGTAACAACAATTTGTTATAGATTTATTTAAAAATCACTTTTAACGGTTCTATCGTGATTCCACCTTTTTTTTCCCCTGAGAGTTTCTTCAACCATTTTTATTTTTTTTAATTATATTTTTTATACAATGTTATTACATATGCATATTTCGAATTTAACCCCTTTAGGACAATGATCACATGTCAGGGATGAGATTTTTCCGCTTTTTAGCGGATTTCAGCTTTTTCATTTTTATCTCTTGAATTTCAGCTTTTTTTTCAAAAATTCAAATTTTCTAAAAATTTCACTTTTTTTAGAAAGGATTGGTAGAATCCTTTCTCATTTTTATTTATTTTAGCTATTTTCTCCCCTTTTACACGCAGCAGATAAGATTTTCCGAATTTTTTTCCTGCCCTCCAGATAGATCCGATTTTCGTAGTTCAAACGACGCTGCTTCTGACAAGCCTTTTAGCGGTCCCAAGCCTCGAATCTGCTAATATCTCGATTCTTATTCACACGATTTTAATATCAAACATAGCTTTTCATATTTGCGTGTTGCGATTCTTTTTCACGCGATTTGAATATTGTATGTTGCAATTCTTATTTACGAGATTTAGAAATCCAATATTGTGATTCGTATTCACGCCTTTTTAAAAACCTATGTAGCGATGCGTATTCACACAAGTTTAAAATTCAATGTCTTGATTTGCTCATGCGGTTTATAATATCAAATATTGATTTTCGTATTTATACGTGATTTTAAAATAAGGCATTCGGATTCGCATTCACACATTCTAAAAATTGTGCATCATAATTCTTATTTATGCAATCTTGCTGCATGCTCAAGTAGCTGATG